GGGATTCTAATCAGATCTATCATCCATCAAAACCAGAGAGCAAAACCAGCAAGTGACCATACCACGACGACCAGGACGACGAGTCGGAGAGATCGCCGTCGAGATCGCCACCAGCCGACTCCGCACGCGCCCACACGCGCCACCGGAAGATCGCAGCTGTTGAGACTCACACGCGCGCGTGAGAGCGCGTGGAAGCTCCGATTTCCGATTGGTCAACGTCGTTGACTTCGCCGTGACGCCAGCTTTCTGGATTGGTCAAGTTTGTTCGATTCCGAGAAGATTTGATTTGCGGTCATCTGTTCGGGCCAGCCAGATCTACTTAAATTTTAAGCCGTAAGTTTTCTACATCAAAACTTTAGATCCGCTGTGCATAGGTTTATGTTGAATGTTTGTCCATGATTTGTGCATATCGAGATCCTCATAGGTCCCAACATATGGATATGCGAACAAAATGGCGGATAGTCGTAAATTATATGGCTTTTGATTTGGACATACGATTCGTTAATTATGCGGTTGAAGACTAGGCGAATCATCCCAGTTGTGCGATTATTATGGGATATGATATGGGAATCGCACAATCAACCCAATTGTGCGATTATTATGGGACATGTTATGCGAATCGCGCAATCAACTCAGTTTCACTAATTTTTGTTAGTCAATCGTGTGCAGGTCACAACTTAGGGCACCAACACAGTATTTTTCTCGTTAAAAGTATTGTTTTCGTTAAATTGGTTTACAATTAAAAACTCCATCTTCATCTTAATTGTCATGGATTGGACGTGATGGACAAGATGACGATTTGTGACCCGTTTCTTTACATGTACGACATCTCCTCGGGCGTATTGGATGAGGAGTTGGTGCATTTTGACCTTCTTCATTTGAAAAAAAAGTCATTACCACCATCGTATAGAGGCCACTTCGCCTTGTTATGCCCGGTGACCCTGCACCGTGAGCACATCTGCTGACGTCGTACTCGACGTGATGATCCTTCTCCAGCGGAATAACGTTGAGTCCGTGGCCGACCTGCTTGTTTGGGATCATTTGGCGGAATTACCTTTTTACACATAATTTCCGGGGGCAAGTGCCATTCATCTGGATGCGGGACGGGGCTAACGGTGCTTTGGTACATCCTTGCAACTGAGTAGGTTTTGAAATGGCCATCAACGAAATCCATTATATCTAACCCGGCTTCCCTGTTACATATCGTAAATGCACATCATATTTATAGCATTTTTTTTTTTGTAAAAAAGAAAAAAGCGATAATGTTGTTTGGTAAACATTACCGAATAGCCGTAGATGCATGTAAGCAAGGTAGTAGATCTGTTCCAAACACACGACAATCACATGTTCTTGCCTCTAAATCTACCACGTAGGATCGTGTTTCTTCCATAACCCTATAACGTTGCATGCCGAGTGTGGTAATGGATAGAGTACGACCTTTCTCGAACAAAGGATCCAACCGCAATTGAGTCCACTACGTTAGCGGATGATTGCGACCCTCGGCGGATGCACGCCGAACAGCAAACCATTTCTCTATCGTTGCTCGAACACACTCCAACAACGAGCAAACGGATAACATCCTGGCCCAACGGAGTTTGTTGTTCAAACTTTCGCATGAATTGGATGTCATGAATCCATAGCGTCGTACAGGTGTAAAACACCTTGCCCAAGCATTTACCGGAATTTCATTAGTTAGCTTTTTAAATGCTTCGGGTTTTAGGCTTTGGATGGATGATAAGTAACGATAGAAGTTTTCACGCCGATAACAATATGCCGCCTTGTAAAATATGCCCAAGACAGATTTCCCAAAAGGCCTCATTTATTTTGTGATGTGATAATAGCAAAATGAATGATGCGCCTCGGGGAACACTATTGGGACATAATATATGATAGACTCATGTCTATCCGATACGATGAGAAGGTTATCAGGACAACCATAGGCCCTTTTCAATTGAGTCAAAAACCAACTCCAAGTCTCACGACGCTCTACATCACCAATACCAACTGCGAGGGGAAAGATTTGGTTATTCCCGTCCAATGTGGCTGCAAAAAACATAATGCCCTTGTATTTTCCTTTCAAGTGGGTACCATCTATCACAATTACCGGGACACCAGCTCGTTGAAAGCCCTCAATGCTAGCTCCTAGAGCAAAAAACAAGTGTTGGAATACCTCGCCATCTCGTTGCAGTTCGACAATTGTACCTGGATTACGAACCTGCAACATGTGCAAGTAACCGGGAAGCCGCCCCCATGATTCTTCATGACCTCCATAAACTTTTTCAAAAGTACGGTGTCTTGCTCGGAGGGACACATTGTAGCTGATCGACAAACCATGCTCCTCCCGCATTTTTTCAATAATTCTCCGTGTAGATACCGTCTGGGGATTTGTCTGAATAGTTGATGCGTAAATATGAGCGAGAACCTTGGAATTAGCCGAACGGTGTCGATTGTGCGTCAAACTCCCTTCGCATGTATGCTCGAGTTTCAGAGTAGTGATTCTCCATACATCTCGGTTTGCCCTTGCACATAACTTGTAAGAACACCCTTCATACCGACAAACAAATTTTAACCTAGAAGTGCAGGATTTGGGTGTTCGACACTCAACTTTATGTTGCAAGTGATACAGTTGAATGGCACAAATCAACTCTTCTTTCGAAAGAAAGACAGACCCCAAAGATAATTCTATATTGTTCGAGGGTAAGTGGATGGGTTGTCTATCTGATCCAGTTGTCGTGGGCGGCATAGGAAGGGACCACATTCGGGCTCAACGTCGGATTGTCGGGTGCTACCTCGATTCATATATGCAAGACTTTCAACCTCAATATGGTCGGTGATTAATCTTAGCTCTTCAATATGCTCGCTATACCACGCCCTGAAAAGCTTGAACATTTGCTTCTCATGTACCTCCTTGTCTTCGTCGCCTGAGTCACCATTGTGCGTGTTGGTTTGATCATCATTATTGTCATCGTCACGAGAATGACCTGGTTGGTTCGAACAACCCGCGGTTTGATCATCAGCGCCCCGAGGATATCCAGTATGTGTAAATGAACTAGGGCCTGCTTGATGTGAATATGGGGCCTCGTGGGAAAATGCAGAACTACCAACACCAAAAGAACTCGGAAATGTACCTTGGGACGCCATCATTTGTGTGAAGCTTTGTTGCGTCGTCCCCAGAACACCTACATTTACTCGCTTCTCCAACTCCACGTAAATGTTGGGAGTTTTTTGTTCTTCAATCAGCTCTAAGATATCCTCACTGGATTCGATTTTCATCTTCACTTTTCGTTCCCTTCCATCAAATACTGCCCACAATATGTACTCAAAATTACAAGGATCAGCCTTCAGTAATGCTTGAACACGAGAAACTACTTCAGAATACATTTGTCGGCCGTAATTTATTCTCATCAGCTCTGCCACTCCACCAAGATATGAACCCCCGGAAAACGTACCACCATAGCTCACGCATACTCTAACACGGGTGCTAGCCATTCAAATAAGTGAACAACAAAAGGAATTAAAACGAAAGAAACAGAAAATTGCAGTAGAGAAAAATGGTGCAGACGTTGAATTGTTAGAGATCACTGTTTTTTTGCTTGCATGATAAATGCACAGACAAAATCCTCACCTGTGAAAAAGCAGTCAATTAATGAGGTGCGTAACTTATGCGACAGATATGCGATCAAATTCTGAATAGTCGTAAAATTTCCATGACGATATGGCCCTGCGACAAAATGGCGCGTAATCGTCAATTAAATTATGCTTTATTCGATTTTGTTATGCGATTCTTCAATATGCGAGCGAAAAAATGTCGCATCATTGTCAATTATCCGGCGGATATATGCGAAAGTTTTTCGCATACTAGTAAATTATGCGATTGACTTGGATATGCAATTTCTAGAAAATGCGAATTCAACAAATAATGCGAATTTTATGCGAAAAGTTTTCGCACAGTCATAAATTTGCAAGGTCGATATAGCCCTGCGAAATAAGGCGCATAATCATCGTAAAATATGCTGCATTCGATTTTGATATGTGATTCTTAAAACTGCGAAAGATGTTCGCATATTTGTAAATTATAATTTTGATGTGGATATGCGATTACAAAAATGCGAAATATTTTCGCATAGTCATAAATTATGCGTCCGCTTGGATATGCGCTGGTTCATTTGGACATGCGACTGTAATATCGCATAGCATTTCGTGAGTTTTGGGGTGTAAAAGAAGTTATTTGATGGAGCGGTGTGTAAAAGAAAGAATAGATTTATAACGGGGTGAAAAAGATTTTGACCCTTTTAAATAAGTGTGTGGTAAATAGATGAAAGCTTATAACTGTTTGACATTGCAAAATGACCAATAATGACATTTTATTTTTTAGGGTCTATTATTTTAATAATAATATATTAAAACATTTGATATTATTTAGTTGGTAATTTATAAATATATATATTTTTTTTTTAAATTTACTAACACTTGATGAATAAGTTATGAATTTTACATTTTTCTAGATAAATTAATCATATGGAAGACATATTATTATTTATTAGCACCATAAACCAATGTAGATTGTAAAATAAATAATACAAATTAAAAAATTCCAAATAAATTATTTTTGTGAATCCTCCATCCAAAAATCTGCTCTAATGAGCTTTTTCTAAATTAAAGTTTTGGGCCCAAAAAGCTTATCAAATAAGCTATTTACCAAACAAGCTCAATAGCGGATTTGACGGGTCAAACCTCTCAATTAAGTCCAATCCGCTATTTTATCTTCAATCCGCTATCTTCCAAACGGGGCCAAAATAAAAGTTGGAGCATATTAGCAGTAATGTTCCCCTAACTACTGTGAATACATATTAATATGTTCACCGTTTATGTGACATGCACATATTGTGATGTATTTTTATTAACATATTAACATCACCAAATGTGTGTATGTCACATAAGCAGTAAACATATTAACATGTGTCTGTAAGTAAGTAAGGGAGCATTATTTAGCGTATCAGATGTCCACTCGGCCACTCCCTATACCACGTGGACTTACTATCGGAATCAAATTTCCATTCTATTTAATCGGGCAGCTAATAAAGAAAAAAAATCAGAATAAATTGGGCGGGTTTGGAATTCCGTTCTAGGGTTTGGTTTTGAAAGTAGGAGAGCTTAGAGCGATCAGGAAGGAAATCATGATCGAGGTGGTGTTGAACGATCGGCTGGGGAAGAAGGTGAGGGTGAAGTGCAACGACGACGACACCATTGGAGACCTCAAGAAGCTCGTCGCCGCGCAGACCGGCACCCGCGCCGACAAGATTCGGATCCAGAAGTGGTACACCATCTACAAGGATCACATCACCCTCAAGGACTATGAGATCCACGACGGCATGGGCCTCGAGCTCTACTACAACTAGCTTCCTTGCTTGCCAAATTATCCCCAAGTACGCTCTTTTCGGTTCTCTCTTTGGTTCTCTGCGTGTGGTTGGTGATTTACTGAGCTAGTTTTAGACTTTGGGGCTATCGGTTGTGCCTAATTTTGTTTATCTACTTATTTTTGTTGTTGGTGATTGGTGGATTTCTGTTGCTTTGTGATTCAATGAGGCTCGGTGAATGATCAATTTTATGCCCTTTTGAACTGAGTGAAGTTAACTTACTAGCATGGAAACTTGATGTCAGATATTTTGTTTCATGGGCACTACTAAACATTGTGAGGAATTGAGTCATTTTATTAGTATGATCTGCTGTTCAGCTGCAAAATATACATGTGGTGATGCTACCGCATTTTAATTTTGTGGATAATATGTTGTGTAATTGCTATGACACCAAGATTGTATCTGATTCTGGAAAAAAAGAGAGATGTTTTTCTGAAACAAAAGGTATGGAGCAAGCAGTCTTTAGTATTGTAACATACTCCTAAATAAATGCATAAGATGCCCCTGGACTTAATAAATAAGGAACACATTAGTGGCATAAGATGGATCTTAACCCACATGATTTTCTTCCAAAGTTATAGATCTCGATTCTTGTTACATTTGTGGCTTGAGAGTGTGTTCGGCGGAGCTTATAGTCATTAAAAACACTTTAGACCATGTTTTAGAGCCTATGAGATTGTAAAACATCTTATTATCAAACACTTTAACTGCATGTTTGAAAAATAAGATATAACATTTGATCAGGTTTTATAACATCATAGAAAATAGAGAAGAAGTTTATAAGTTCTAAAAAATCTAAGTTTAACTATTCAAAACATGAAAAAAGTTCTCTAGATTTGGAACGTTTTGTGTTGGTAATATTAGGATCATGTTCAAGCGACCATGTTAATTATAAATTATGTATGCAAGTATGCAACATTTTACCAGTTGATTGGGTATCATCTTGTCAATAATCAAGTGCATGGAATGGCTGATTCGAAACGAAGCACATTTGTTTGCTGCTTTTATTTGAACAACTAAAACAGATGATTTGCATCATACAAATCCAATTGGGTAGCACTGCATGAGTTGAATAATTAAGTCTCTTAATCACTATACAACGTTATTCTTATTCTTGTTAATTTTCCCTATTCAAAATTTCGGACCCGCAGTCCAAATGTGTTTCATTTTCAGGCAACGTTATTGCTGAGCTATATCCTTATCTAGTAATTTTCTTTTCTCCATATTCTTCACGTATTCTGGCACACATACAAGCATCTTCTTTTTTAAGCAATTTCTTTAACTCATTGTTGTAAACACCTAAGGGTTTGATTGTTTATGAATATATTGGTATTTAATTGGTTTTCTTTTTTGGTTAATCAAGGTTAATTTTGAAAATTAAATGATTAAAACTAATTTGATGTAAAAGTATGATATAAATGATTGGAGGTGATAGGTATTGTAAAATATGTGAGTAGATGAATAGTGAACCAAAATTGATGTGATGTGTAAGAATGATTGATTGATATTATTCAATTATATTGATAATATTAATAATAGTGGAGTTGAGTTCATATTGATTTAGATTTTGAGTTGAGATTATATATATATATATATAGGATGTTCAAATGAGAACCAAGTCCTAGCGTGAGATCGTGAGAACCGCTATGTTTAAGTGTATGGAGTGCTATAATTATGTGTTTTAGTGCTATTATTAATCAAGATCTATGTTATTAAAAACAGCAGCACGATCTATATTAGCATTTGCGAAAATGATAGCACCATGTGATATTAAAAATAGCATCATACACAATATAAAATAGCATCAAATGTGGTTCTCACGGTTCTCACACCAGAACTAGTTTTTATTTGAACTAACCCCTATATATATTTTGTGTAAACAAACAAGCTCAATAACAGTCATCAACATTTTAAAAAAATAATAAAAAAATAAAATAACAGTTATCAACATTTTATGGTGAAACCCAAAAATTAAATAATCAGTATTCTATTGGGTTAGTTGTTACTGAATCACATTAGCATTTACTCAGATATATTGCACTTCATTGTTTTAATTTCTCTTCTTTTGGACATAATTTCTCATTGCGTATGATGCCTACAGGTTCGCGTCCAGGAAAGCGTGGCAGTGATTATACATGTTCTGCTTGAAATAAAATAACCGATAAATAATCATGATGTACGTTTTTGGTGAATATTTGCCAGCATGACTTATTATTCTGTATAAATAACTCATGAATCTATATAATCAGTATGTATCCTAATTTTGCTGTTGGGGAAGCTGTGACCAATTTAGTAATTTTGTGTTTCTCATCTCACTTATTTCAACTGCCTTATGAAATCTGAGATGAGCATGTTTGTTTTGGCAAATTTTTTGGGAAGATGTTTTTCCAGGTTTATTTGCATATTGGAAATTGGGTTAGGGGCTATTATGATGATTTGTGTGGCAGAGACGCAAGGTTAATGACAAAAAAAATAAAGAACATAATTAATTAGGTGGTGATTGATACTTCTTTCATTTTATTTGGATGGCTAAAATTTGAGTTCATTGGATATTTTGGTTTTGATTGATTATTTTGGTTAATTAGAGTTTAATTTTACACAAGTTGGTTGAATTAGATTTGAGTGGATTTTGAGTTTGTATTAAAATAATAATCCTAAAGGCGACTAACAAAAACCAAATATGTAACAAATTGTTACACAACATACGAAATAAAGATGAAATAGTCTAAACACCTCCCTCTTCAAATGGACTAATATCCAAGATCGCTCCAAGAAGTTCTACATCGTCGACAACTACCACAGCAGGGCAAGTTCGCCAATGATTTTGAGCACAAACTAACTGGAATCTAGACACCCATCTCTACAGTGTAAAGAGATCCGTAGATCAAAGCTCTCATACCTAAATACTCTAACCCAAACTTTGGACGACTAATAAGATTTGACATGAAGCAAGAGTTCGAGCCCAATGTAACCAAAAGAGACATTGAATCGGGGGATTGGTCGGGGGGTTGCAAAAGATCGACAACCACCCAGCCGAAGGCCAGACGTATGTGGTGAGGTGAGGAACCGACAAGAGAGGGACATTAGGAGCTATGGAATTTTTTTAGAGTAGCATCAGTTACGATGCCGAAAACCCATTCTCATGACGTTGTTGCCTTTTGTTTTGACTATGACATTCGTTCATCTCTATTTACATTTGGACCATAGGTTTAGCATCTCCTCAGAAGTCTCTCCATCCAATCCCTATTTACAAACACGAACTTATGGGCAACCACAACGCGGCGTTCAATTGCCCCTTTCAACTTATTTTAAACGCCAACTTGGCATTAATAGCGATGTGGATGTTCATTAAGGGGTGGGACCCCCACCATCCGTTCATACCATTGAACGGCAATTGTGTTGCTTTTTTATTTATTTTTTTTTGTTTTCTTTTTTCTTTTTATAAAAATTTATGTTTAATAAATATATAATGAGTCTCACATATGTATTTAAATGAATGTGTAGGAATGTGAGTGTATGTTTAAATGGAGAAAGATTTATTGCAAATATGTTATGGAGATGATGCGGATGAGAGTGTTACTTTTTAATTGCATGAATGGTATTTGTGTTAAAGGGTTGTGGGTGCCCTAATAAAAGCAACATCTTTCCTTCAACCACTACTAAAATGCAGACAAAATTTGTGTTTTTCTACTCTTCTTTTTGTTAGTGTCATACACGAAAATTTGCATTTTTCCTATGCAAAAAATTAAAAGTATCCATAGTAGGGCTGCACAATCGGTCAAAACCGAATCGAATCGACCGAAAATTCGGTTAACCAAATTTTTGGTTCGTCCAATATTAAAACCGAAAATTGAACCGACAACTAAGGTTCGGTTCGGTTTCAAACCGAAAATTCATCGGTTTTTTCAGTTCGGTTATCGGTTATCCAATAATCCAATAAAATGAAAAATGACAAAAAAAAATTAAAATTACCAAATAACAAATATGGGAACGACTGACGGCCTGCCGGGTGGAGAGTCGCGTCGACCTCATTTGAGATAACAATAGATCGGCGAACTTAATTGAGAAGATGAGCGTCGCAACGGCCTGTCGGGTGGAGAGTATGCGGGAGCAGGAACGATCGACTAGCGAGGCGATTTGGGATTTCAAAATTCCGGCAATTTGGGATTTCAAAATTCAGAGCACCGACATCGAGCGACCGGAGATGGAGCGGGTGATTTGTGCGCCGTGCGGCGGACGGGCAGAGAAGATGCAGTGCTAGGTAGGGTTTTTTGTGTGGAGGATGAAACGATGGAGTATGGACTAAGAGAGTCTGTGAGAGTTGAACGATTTTGTTTCTATGAATTAGTCTGTGAGAGTCGATGCCTGATGGAATTAGATTCATAAAATGGGCCTGCTCCCATTGTATCTTTGGATTGGGCCTTTCGTGTTAAATTGTTGATAGTTATTATATACTGTGCCTTATTTAACTTATATTATATCGGTTTTCGGTTCGGTTCGGTTAACCGACGGATTGTAACCAAACTGAACCGAAAACCGAAATATTAATAAACTTAAAATTAATAACCGAACCAAATTGTCGGTTTTGGATTTGGTCGAAACTGAAAATTCGGTTTCGGTCGGTTTCGGTCGGTTATCCAAAATCTGTGCAGCCCTAATCCATAGTTTGCAAAAGTTACCTCATATATATTAAGAAATGTTTTTATTTGAACGACCCTTTTTTTTTCGGCAACTAGCGGCAGGCACTGTGTCCTCCCTCAGTCCCACGTAAGACATTGTGGGAGCCTTCCTCGTCGTGGTCAGCACCACCTCATGGTAGACATTATCGGAGCCTTCGGGCCGGAGAAAATTACAAATTTAGTCCCAAAACTTTTTATGTTTCCCACATTTGGTCCCAGGCACATCAACTCTGGTCCTTTTCAAATTTTCGTTGCCAAAACGGTACAACTCCGCCAATAGTTAACGGTCTTCCACAGTGAACG